ACTGTAGATTTCAACACTGATTTCAGAATACTGAAGACCTGCTTTGCTTTCTCGACCCCATCCTGATCGGCATCCTTGTTCATGTCACCACCTGTAGTTGAAACAATGCTGGTGAGAGACGACTTCGTTGGGTTTCTCTCGTTGATGGTAATTGGCGCTTGTTTTTGTTAATAGAGTATCTTCATCACTTCTGTCGTCTTTATGTTCACTGGAAGTTCTTCTATATTCTCTTGCTCTTTTTGCTTATAAATCTTCAAGTTCGTGCGAAACGATATATCAATCATCCGTGAAGTGCAGGCTTTTCTACGATCATTTTTCATCCCAACGTATTTCTAGGGGGGTGGTGAAGATTTAGAATTAAAGGCTAAGATTTTGCCTATCACAAAATACATGCTGTCATCTTCTCGGTAATTTTTTTTGTAGGTTTTAAATTTACCCAGATAACCTAAAGTAGGCAAATTTTGTTTAATTCACGGAAGATACCTATCCAAACATCAATAGAAGAACAAAAAAGTTCAGCGAAGAGCCTCTTTTCGGCGAATTCATTTACTTAGCTGTACAATCGCACTTATATATAATTATTTCGTGTGTGTGTGTGTACATTAGGATTGTCAAGCAAAAATTTAAAAAATAATAAAAAAAAACAGTTACAGTTACTGTTTACGTCATCAAAATGTTTCTAAAATGTGATGAATAATCAAAATTGTGACTAGGGTGACGGTTGAAGATTCGTAAGTTTTGACAAGGGTTGCGTAATACGAAATAGGATGTTAATAGAGACACGTGTCCGAAAATATATTGCGTAATTGGTAGCAAAAGTAAATAAAGGGTTGGTTAAGAAGAAAATGTTACTAAGATGCCATACGAAAAATTCAAAAAGACAAAAAAAGAAACCAAAACATTATTCACAAAGTCGTAGAGCTTAGAATTATACCTATGATAGAAGGAGGGATTGGAGAAGTTTCTTCTGTGTGCATAAACCAAGGTTTTCTATCCGGATCGCTAAGGCTTCGGCAATGCGAAGTATACGGAAACTTACCCTTTTCAGGAGGCTTCTTTTGACTTTGTAGATGACTTTGGATGAATTCTCCGTGCATACTGAGTGACCAGTGTTGACTATATGTTCAATTGTAGCACTCTTTATTGATCCACTGTTACCTTTTCGTAGCCATTAACTAGTTAAATACTCTTACGCCCTTGTGATTTTAGTTTCTCCTACCGAGACTAGATTCAGTCACAAAAAGTGTGGTTGTTAACAGAATAAATCTTTGGTTTCGGAAGCGGCAGATACATATTTAGGTCGAAAGTACGTGTTGCCAACGAGTCCTAAGCCTAAAACGCAATCATCTCTAGTTGGTCTCCCAGCCAGTGTTCATAATCTATAAAAGGCTATCACAGTCATTTCTAGGCATATATCAGACACACCATATGCCAACAGTGAGGCATCAGTTCACCCAAAATATTTCAATAATAAGCAATTTTAATCCGAAATATATTGTGATACCGAAATTATCATACCTCTATCAAAATAATAAAGCGAAATATTTAAATTAGATAATGAAGTATAATTATATCTGCTGTAAAATAGTTAACCTGGAATACATTATCGTTCTACTGTTAGAGGTGGCCAGACTCATTGTCAGACAATCGAAATTATCATGTTCTGTCGGAAAATAAAAAGTGTTAATCATCTAACAGCAGTTTTGTTTTAGACCAATTCGAAATGATCAGCCAGTCTACTTCTTTTCATGACGTAGAGTAAGTGTGGAAATTAAATTGTTGTGTAATAAATTGAAAGGCAAAAATAGGTTCCTAGTGCCGAGGATAAAGTATTTTTATGCACACTTTAATATTTATCATGATTTATATATTGTTTAACCAACAAATGATGAGGTCATTCAGTATTAACCAGCAGAATTAAACAAATAAACTTCTCGATATAAATAGTGAATAGAGAGTGAAGTGGTTGGTGGAGCGTGTTGACCACTTCACTTATTTTGGAAGTTGCATCAGCCAACGCCAGCGGGTTGATCTCAGCACGGATACAGAAGGTTCGTTTGGCATATGCCAACTCACTCCATCTCTGGTGTAAACGTGATATCCGACTGGCTGTCAACCGAAGGGCGTGTATACTGCTCAACAGTTGGCTCTGTCCTCCTTTATGGCCGTGAGACATGGATATTGAGAGTGGAAGATACGGAAAGCTTATCTGTCTTTGATCATAGGTGTCTGCGTTATATCTCCCGTGTTATGTGGTTTAATAGGGTGAGCAATATTGAGGTTGGGAATCGGTCAATGTTAGGTGAGGAGGAGAGGGAATCAATCGACACGGTTGTGAAGTTACATGGATTTAGATGGTTAGGACATGTGTTAGGCATGCATGCCTAGCCATCGCCTTCCTTAACGGGTAATGTTACTTGACATAGGATGGATCAGGTTGGGAAAGAGTTGGCTAGTGGTGGTCAAACCAAAATATGGCTTCATTAGTCAATGAAATCCATAACAGTTAGTTTAAGCCAGCTACGTAGGGAGGTATAGACTTCCTATTTGGGGTCCTAGGGATGGTAAAAACCAATGAAGACAGGAGACAATTGGTGAAATGATTCACCTTAGCGATCCGGATAGAAAACCCTGATTTATGCACACAGAAGAAACTTCTCCAACCCCTCTTTCTACCATAGGTATAATTCTAAGTTCTACGACTTTGTTAATAATGTTGTGGTTTCTTTTTTTATCTTTTTGTATGGCATCTTAGTAACATTTTCTTCTTAACCAACCCTTTATTTACTTTTTCTACCTATTACGCAATTTATTTTCGGACACGTGTCTCTATTAACATCCTATTTCGTATTACACAACCCTTGTCAAAACTTACGAATCTTCAACCACCCTAGTTACAATTTTGATTATTCATCACATTTTGGAAACATTTTGATGACGTAAACAGTAACTGTAACTGGTTTTTTATTATTTTTTAAATTTTTGCTTGACAACCTCAGTGTACACATACACACACAAAATAATTATGTATATATGCGATTGTACTCTGTTGAACCATTGTTCTGAACGGCTGGCGCAGATGCATTCACTCCTTATGATTAATAATATCCAATAAAACTATATTGTTCTGCTATACTACTATTCTTTTTGCCTCATATTTCTGTTTATTAACTCTGTTTTGAATCTTTCTCTACTTCCTTCTCTGGCTCTATGTGCTATATAGAATGTGGCAACTCGAACTACTGCACATCTGTGCAAAGTTCTACATTGAAACCAGTCAGTTGATGTAAATAGACAAAATTTAAGTACTATAAGTGTAAATCAATTTCTCCTTCATATTTACTAACACACTGATAACTGGTTGAATATCACATTTTTTTTTTAAAAAAGAAGAAAGATGACTTTTAACATTTTATGGCATATGATTTCAGTGAGTCCAAGAAAATGGAATTCTGTCAATTGCTTTGTCTATTGAACGTGTGACAAGACTAGATTGATAGATGATCATTATAAAATGTGCTCAAGCCTCACTCACTCTTGATTTATCAATTTTCACTTCAATCAATCGATATATAATATGATTAACTAAGAGTTAACAATGTATGCTTAAAGCTTTAAAAGTAATGATCTATGTCTTGCCTACAAGTATGATTCTTTCCCAAGTGAAGCTATCAATCCTTTTATGGTGAATTCTGTCTGTCTGTCTATCTGGATTCAACATAGAACTTGGCACCGAAGTGCAACAGTTCGAGTTGCCACGTTCCAAATACCACACAAAGGTAGACAAGAAAATGAGTGAAGAGAATCAATAGAGTTTTGACAAGTATAAGAGTGAAACAGAGTGAGTAATGGTAGAAAGGAATATGAAAGATTACACAAGAGACTGAATACATCTGCGTAAGCCATTGACAACGATTTTGAGCCATGTCACCTATTGTCTCCAGCCATTGATTCTTAGAGTCCCGAGGGCCCCAACCCGGAAGTCTGCATCTCCCTACCTGACTCAGTTTAACTGTCAAGGATTTCATGGATTGATGAGGCCATGTTTTTGTTTGGCCACCACTTACTCTTTTCCAACCTGCACCTATATCAGCTAGTAATGCCCGTCGGGGTGGGGGAGGCGATGGTTAGGCATGCGCAGCACGTGACCTAGCCATCTCAATCTATGTAACTTCATAGCCTCTTCGAGTGATTTTCCCTCTTTGCCCAACACTCTACGCCTAACGTCAACATTACTTACCTTATTATGCCACCTAACGTGAGAAAGAGATCGTAAACATCTATGATCAAAAACAGTCAACCTTTTCATGTCTTCAACTCGTATTGGCCATGTTTCAGAGCCATAGAGAAGGACGGAGCGAACTGCTGAGCAGTACACACGTCCCTTGGTTGATAGCCGGATGTCACGCCTACGCCAGAGACGGTGTAAGTTAGCGAAAGCAGCCCGAGCTTTTTGGATCCGTGCTGAGATTTCGTCACCAATCAATCCATTGGTGCTGATACAACTTCCCAAATAGGTGAAGTGGTCAACATGTTCTATCACTTCACTCCCTATCACTAAGCTAGGAGTTGACGTAGTCCAGTCCTGTAGCAGCATCTTACAGGACTTATGACTTAATTGATTATATATATATATATTTGATTATAGCTTGATTCCAGATAGTATTTTTGGTACAAGTATGGAATTTTCAGCATGTGATATCGGTAGCCCAAATTTTGCAGGCCGACCACTGATATCAGGTGTGCGTCAGCAAGGGATCGAACCCCGGCGAGAGTTCTGAACACTGTGCCACCGACGCACATTTTGGGCCATCAGCCAATTAACAGCCTGTGATTTCATTAATTTAAGAAACTAGATTTTAACCAGGTAACAAATGAAATTCAAAATAACAGTGTGTGTTTCACTATTTGTTTTAGTTAATTTGTATTGATTATATTTAATTGAAATGTCCGGTCTCTCTTTTTAGTTATTGACGGGAAATAAATAAATTATCCCAAATAGCAACTGGCACTCTTTGTTTTTCAAAGGTGGCTCTTGTTTCCCATTGGCTGAGTTCAAGTCTGTGTGTTTGGGCAATATCGTTCATTGAATACACAATTACATACCTCCAACTGACTAGTTCCACCTGCTAGCCACCATCAACCAAATGACAGTTTATTTTATCCTTTGTTTTTATTAAAACCCTTTAATTTCAACTGCCACACACTCAACCATAATGTCCTTCAACTAGATTTCTGCTTTATACCAATGGATAATACAGATGGTAAAAATATAAAAAAGAGCAATACTTCAAAAGAGAGGATAAATATTGAAAATGTGTTGATCACTTGCTATTGACACACACACACACACGCATTGACAGTTTTTTCGCGCGCAGTCATATGTCAATTTTCGATGTGAAAAGCTGTGAAGAAAATATATACTGATTTCGGAATTAATGAATATCTGCCTCTCACGTATGCATATTGTTTATCATTATTTGTTCATTTTAATTTTCTTGTATATCTATTGTTTTTTTTTAATGTTTAGTTGATGTAAATGAGGCAAAGATGTTTTACATAGACACATGTATTGTGAATAAGTGTTTGTTTCTAAATATAAATATTGCGTAGGAATAAGCAGACGCAATAATGTGTGTGTGTGTGTGTGTGTGATCTCGATGAGTGATATGGTCAGCATACACACAGCCTGCAATAGTCATTAGGCATAGAGTTTAATTTGGACATTAAAAGATTTGACTAAATTACTGAAGTTCAGGGAATTGGGTAGTATTGTTAACATTGGGGAATGATCATGCTATCTTGAAAGTTGTGCGTCGTGGGTTCAGCGGTAGAACGCTCTCCAGCCACTCATGTGGTACGGAGTTCCATTGCCGGCCGACGCGCTCCCAAACCTCACCAAGCCGGTACGGTAAAGAGGAAAGGTTGGGCGTGAGGCTAGCAACCCAACCCTGCAAAAATAAAAACCACTGCTACCGAAACTTCAAAGCTCTAGTTTGAAACTCTATGTTCTACTGGGAACGTAAAGGAATAAGAAAAAATAGATCTACCGTGACTACAATTTTGTGATAATCAGTGCTAACCATAGATTCTCACTAGTCATGCAGCTAGTTAGTCAAGATTTCCGTCCTGCATGTAACGGAATAATTGTTTAGCGAATCTTTTCTGAACGATACTTGGTACTAGACTGTTTTCATCGTCCTGGCATTTGCATATCACCTGTTGAATTAATCCTCATCATTTGTCTTTGTTTCTGTTTAGTAGCTAATTTTAATGCTTCTCTTTTGTGGTTGTTTGATGATATGAAAAAAATTTGTTGTTTTACAAATGCGATTTTGTTTGAATGAGTCAACGTCAGGATGACCTTGGACTGTCTGCGAGAATTGATCGGTGTGTGATTCTTGCCGACAGAGTTTTGATTCCATCTTGTTGGGAATATTCTGCTTGATTCTCAGGTACTTCTTACAGTTGATCTGGTTAAATTATTTTGTCGTACAGTACTTAGTTTGCAACTGAGAATGAATTTGATCTGTATAGCTGCCTGACGGCATTGTTGAGTTACTTTTGTTTTTTTTTTTGATACATCATAATAATTGTTAAATAGTAACGCAGATTTTATTGTGAATGTCTTTCTGCTGTCGTTGGGACATTTTGTGACTGTGAGTAACTCAAGGAAGTTCTGGTCAGCTAGACAGTAGAACGCAATAATTGATTTCTTGAGTTGAGACCATAACACATGGGTTCTGATCACTACAATTCATGCTGCTTACTATTGATAAAAACGAGAAATTAAACACTAATCACGGTTACAAGTAGTTCTTGCTGGCTAGATTGTTACGATTCAAACAATTCGAGGCCGCCTTGTTCGTATGCTACTAGATTATCTTTACGAGATTGATTAATTCGAGTATAGTCTCAGTAAGCTCTCCATCTAAGTAGTTAAACGGTCTATCGTTATTTAGATCACCGTGGTCTATAATAATAAGGGAACTACTAATGGATGTGTGTGGTTTCCGACTATTTATATCAGTCACTAATATATGTGATTTAGCTGTCATACTTGCATTTTATGTTTTTTAATTATGCCTCATTTTGTGGCTGTATTATATTATTATTACTACCTTGGGTTCCGAGTCCGCTTCAACAACAAATATCTACTTCGTTCTGTTCTCTGCTGTCCTCTTCAGCTGGTTAGCTCCAAGATTGTCCATAATCTCTCATCTCCTCATCGCCACACGATCTCCTCCATGTCATCCTCGCACCAACGACCGATGGTGTGCATTGCACGCGATGTCATTCACCGGCCTCCTCAATGTATGCCCGATCCATCTCCATTTTCTCCTACATATATGTTTAACAATCGGCTCTCGGTTGGTTTGTTCTCAGCCAGTGTTTCTTGTTGCTAATTTTTTCTGGCCGGTCGACCATTCGAACTTCAGTATGAAGCCAGCCAAAGAAGGCATCTATTGATAAAAGTCTGTAAACTTGTTGAAAATCCTTTTTGTTACGCGCCAAGTTTCTGACCCGTATAGATTTCGCGGCTAGAATAGTTTTATTTTCCAAATGAATTCAGAATATAATATAATTTCACTTTGGAAATGAATCTTGCCAACACCTGAATTGATTCGATATCTGGATACTTTGATGAATGATGTCTATCTAGTTAATAATATTATGAACTTGAACTGAATCATTTTTGATTTATTGTATACTGAACTCCTATCTGTTTATGCTAATTCATATATATATATATATATATATATATATATATATATAATGATTACTTTATTCCAAAAACAGTACTTGTGATACAGAATGGAATTTTCAGCATTAATCACAATATTGCATCTAATTTCCTCAAATTATAAATAAAAATTAGTCGCACAGAAAATTTTCCACATTTACAGTAGGGGTAATTTCAAAAACATGCAGCATATAAAATGGAAATAATAGTAATGATAACAGCTAAGGTAATAATAATAATACAAGTGAAAATTGCCGTGGGCTTGTTTCACACAGTATTGTCGATGCGGTATAGAAATCCTAGCATGTTTAAAAATATTGAATATAATGTTCTCTTTCCATGATATGGTGAGGGGAAAAACAAAGATTACAGCAGTCATAGAGATAAGTTGGTGTTTGCAGTTATGATAGTAAAACAAAGAAACAACAGGACCATAAATATAATAGAAGTAATAAAAGTAAAACTTGAAGGTATATAAGGATGGATGGAGGAAATTGTTTATTTACTGGATGAAAAAAGGTTAGTCAATTCTTGCCTGACGCTATTTTCATGACAATGTTTTCTTTATTTCAGAGAATGCTCCAAGTCAGACAAAATCCCTCTATCAAATTTATTGCACGAGGTCAAGTGCCTATCAATAACGACGTTAACTATGTGGTCCACTGGGACACCACTCACCCTACTGACCGTCTTCAGCATTCTACGAATTGTGATGTAGTCCTTTTTAAGCAAACCAGGAAAGAATAATGGTGAACAATAAAGAAGAATAGGTAGGATGCAAGAGTTTATGAACTGTAAGAGGAGGGGTTGAGTTATACCCGAGTGCCTTAACTTCTGAATGTAAAATGTCAGGCGGAATATTTTACTGGAGATCGCTAAGACATGGGAAGACCAGGAGAGATCAGAAGAGAGAATAAGTTCAAGATACTTAATTTCTGATTTAATTCCTATATCATTGTCATCAATCTTACAACTGTCATGAGAATCGACGGCTTCTTTTAACTGTCGTTTACATCTTAAGCTGAAATTAACAGTTTGACATTTAGAAGGATTCAGTTTAAGACCGTTTGATAATAGTAAAGTGAAGAAAATGTTGGTAATTAAAAACTGTAGAGGTGCTATTGGATAACTATAGTTTTTCAATTACTGTCACTATTTAACTACTCTTGAGTTTGATTTATATTTTCAAGTACTTGTGATCAAGTCTATTACAGTTGTATAGAAGTGAATCTAAATTGTTGTAGTATTTGCATACATCAATACAGGAATCTATCAAATTAATTCGAAATAAGCCAATATAGATGTAAATAGATTAGTAATGTCTAGTTCAAAACTTTGTAGTTTTTTATTTAGGTTGATAGTGACTAGCAGTGGAATGTGCATTTCCTCCTATCTAGGACTCGTCATCTGAATGTACTTGCATCTCCAGTGAACGACAGTGTTCCTTTTAAGACTCGAAACCTGCACCTATCGTGGTTTTTCCTTATACAATTACACTGTAGAAAACGAAATAATAGGATAGTTAACCATCAGCAAAAAATGTTCCTCCTTTCCTAATTAGTGAAACACAACATGATATTTTTCTAACTGGTGTTTCGCCTTTTGGTGCCTGTAGCTTTTTCAAATTAATATTAAACCAGAATTTACAAAATCTCAGCCTATATACATTAATTTCATCCTATTTCTTCAGCATGAGGTAATTTCTGCATTGTCAAGTGGATGAATTCGTAAAAATAACAAACCATGTACAGCAGTTTGTTGAATTTTATAGATGTAAGAATTATAAAAAAACAGCACGTGTTTATATAATGAAGATGGTTATCATATTTGTGTTGATTTTGTCACTTCATAGGTCGGCGTAAGGGCGGAGGGTATGAAGGTTATTAGAACCAGGTCAAATTCTTTCTTAATACGTCTTTCCTATTTAGATAATTTGAATTCCATTTAATGTGGTAAATTGTTTGTGATTAAAAAAAATTTTTTTTCTGAATTATTTCAATATTATCTAAATCAATTTTGTGGTGTGATTGCATAGCGTGTAGACATACACCTGACTACTGATAAATTTTATCAGCAGCATTCGCCACAACATCACTCTTATATTTGATTTTTGAGTTAGTCAAAAATATATATATATATATTAAAAATTCTTTGGAAACTACTCGAGTACTACGGCGTACCCCAAATATTCATCAACCTTATTCAACAGCTGTACGACAACGGCACATGTCAAGTGATCCACAACGGAAAACTCAGCGAGGCATTTGGAGTAAACACAGGAGTCAGACAAGGGTGCTTATTATCACCAATGATATTCCTAATTGTGGTGGACTGGATTATGTGTCAGACAGTGGGAAACGAGAAGACAGGGATATCCTGGACCGACGTGAAGAACCTAGAAGACCTGGATTTCGCGCGTGGATGATTTATTTTTGATGTCACACAAAATCGAAGACTTACAAGCAAAAACCGACAAACTGGTCGAAGAAGCAGCAAAGACAGGTCTCCAGGTGAACATAGACAAGACGGAGGTTATGAAAATAACCAACCAACAACAACAACAGCAGAGCAACATCCAGCGCCAATCACCATCAACGGGAGGGATTTGAAAGAGGTTACTTCATTCACTTATCTAGGGAGCATTGTCTCAACTACAGGAAGAACGGACGAGGATGTCAAATCGAGAATCGGGAAGGCGAGAAACACATTCATC